ATCGGGGTGTCGACACCATGCGCTAAACGTCCAGAATCAGATTCTGTTTCCTATTTTGTGTCAACACGTAATCCGAAGTGTCAGCACCACACGATCAGCATCTAAAATTCAGTTTCCTATTTCTATTCCAAGTCCTACTTCTATTTCAATTAGGGTTTCTAAATCCTATAAATACCCATCCAAATACAGAATTAAGAGAGTTTTGGAAGGCTCGTGGCAGCCCTCTTTTGGGGCACTCTTGAAGGTCAAGATAGAGGATCCATCAATAAGAAGATCAAAGATTTCAATTACCTCAAATTAGGTTTTGTTTTTCCTTAGATATTCTTATGTTCATAATTCTGATTTCAGATTTTATTATTTTTATTATGAACTGATTTATTCTACTAGGGCTATGATGTAGCCTAATCAATTCAATATGGATTTAGTGATTTTATACTTTCAATTAAAGTTATTTGCGTGAGGAGTTTATATTATTGAACTTAATGCATTGGAAGTCTGATCATCTTTCAATTGATTTAGTGATTTATGCATGAACTTGAGAAAGAATTGTGTAGATTAGACCAATAATAATATAAACCGTGTGCTAGACTATGAGACCGAGAGGTAATTAGCTCACGTGTGGTAGTGGAGGAAGAGAAGAGAGTTAGTAGCTCCCCCTTTTTAAGCTAGAGGTTTCCATAAAATCTAATGCTCATTAGTTTGTTTAAAATTACATAGAGATATGATTAATTTAACAAACCAGTGAAGGATTAACTTGACTTGAGAAAGCTAGTTAATTAATTTAGGGAAATCCGCCATCACATGCAATAACACTCAACAATTTGGTAATCCAGAATTTATATTGATTGATTATGGTGAAGTCAATGCCTTAGTACCTCCTATCTTGGTTAGGTTTATTTGTTATTTTCTTTTTATTATTTTTAATTAAAGTTTCTTTTTATTTGATTGTTCAAATAAATTTAGATTAATTATTTTGGTACTTAGTTAGACACAATCCTCGTGGGTTCGACACTCTTCTCATCATTATATTACTTGGAGCGACTAGTACACTTGTTAGGGTGATTTTAGTGCATCAATGTTTAACTGTTTGTTGTATTGCCAATGAGGGATATTTGTTGAGAATATTTGAAAGTGGAAACAAAGAAGGCTTAGTCGTTAATTTTTGGAATATCTCACTAGTTGCTTTTTTGGCTTTTGATTTTTCTCTTTCATGTCTCTTTTTCACCATTCCATTGTTTTCTCAGAATGCATATGATACTGATTCATTTCTTTACGATGCCCTTTTGGATTAACACTGAGGTTGACTAGAGCTTTAGTTACTTGCTTTTGATGTCATTTACCCAACCCATTCCGATTTCCTACATTTTTCACATTAAAGGATTATCTATGGTGGCAAGAACACACACTTGTTTCAGGTTTCATGGTGCATACAACAGTGAAAGTAGCTTGCAAGAGCATTTCAGAAATTCAAGTAGTGGATTGTGAAGCAGTGGCTAATTGAGAAGGATATGTTTATTTCTGAGTTTGCATACTAGACAGATATAGATGGGGGGAAGTAATGAAATAGTCTGTTCATACTTCGTTAGTCTTTCTTTCTCAAAATTTTGTGCTTTCTATTAATATGAGGAATGAAGTTATTGGTTTTGAAATATGTTACAATGTGGACATTGTATCTTAGAAATTTTGGATAACGCATCTGTGAGCTACTTGTATCTTAAAAATTTTAGAAATTTTCTGCTTTTCTTTTGTTTCTAGAGAAGCTCAACTTTCCTCTTTGAATGTTTGATGTTGTTCATGGGGCTCAAGGTTTTGTTGCTTTTCCCCTTTCTCAGCCTAAAATTGTATTGTAAGCATGATTGCTGGTATTTAAGGGTTTAATTCTTTAAATATGGAGTATTTTAAAATTATTGTATAGGTGCATAACTGGCGCTGCTTTTGAGCCATCTTCTTGATGGTGTCTTACTGAAGTATTTCTTGTAAAAGGTTTTGGAAAAGCTACGTATTAAGTGTAGGAATAAATAAATGATTTGTTTAAGCAAAAAAGGTTTGAATATTTTTTGGTCTGGTTTTAAATGTTGCATTGTTCTCCTCAGCACCTAGAAATCCATTCTTTAGTTGATCTTCTCAGTTGCTAGCTTTATTGTTTTAAATACATGA